ATCAATGTGTTTGTTACATGCAACACAATTTACACAAACTACTGGAGCTATACACTAATATATTAACAAAAACAATTGCGTAAACTCATCGAGTGTTGAATTCAATAAATTATATCGTATAAGACATATTTTGCAGCTTATAGAAGCCATACCCAACCACGCCACAGAGCGTGATTGTCATATTTATCTATTTATTGGTTACATATTAGTGTATACAGCTTACAAACACCATAGTAAAATTGTTTTTAATCACACGAATTAATTTTAATTCTGAATTGACACACATAATAATAATAATATATTATACATTAGTTTGTAAGTATGAGCATACTAGTTTGTTTGTGAGGTAAACACCATAAACTATATTATTGTCGATTCTTCTATACATTTAAAACATTTTCTAGAGCTTAACTTCGAGTAGTTTGGTCTGTGTGGAACTCATAAAACCGAGAACTAGCCGGGTTGGAAATAATAAACAATAAAATACAATTTTCTTTAGTTTTCACACGCACACTGAGCAAAGTTACGTGCAGTCGTCTGCAAAACTACACCTACAGCTGCTGCTATTATTGTCTACTACCTACGCTGTATATACATTTCAGTATCATAAACTCAAATACTTTTTTGTTGTGTCACCACTAACAATATAATACCGACACATTGGCCAGAGATTACTTTTCTCGTGGTGGCTATAATAGTAGGCTGCTGGTGTGACACGAGGCACCTACTAATTAAAAAATATAATATTAACTGCTATCACGAGATTTAATTTTAAAAACAAACTACGTACACTGGATTATGTTATAACATACCTTTATTTGTCGCTTACGTTCTGAAGACTTTTAATGTTCCGAGTATAAACTATAAACTAAAAAACTAAACACACCAAACACTACTTCAAATAATCTTATCTGTTTGCTGGCCTGGTGAATAGGCCATTTCGTTACACCCCGGGAACTAACTTTCGAACTACTATATCACAGTAACCCGCGAGACCGCTGTCGAAAAACGAACTCAATAAGGTATTGTGGGATATAAATTCACGGAATTCATACACCAATTATAACGAATAAATAGAATAATTAACATGCACATTAGTAATCTTCTGTAGTATATAAGCAATGATTAATGTAGTACTGGAATGTTCTGATAACCATTCATTAAAATACAACGTGCGGATTCCACGCGTGTACTATTGATTAAAAATGTCACGGTCAATCATTATTTGCATTCAACCAAAAAGACATCTGAATAATACACGAGCTGCAGGTTTAAGACAGCAGATCAGACATTACTCATAAAGTCATAACGGAGCCCAGAGTGCAGCATAATCAGATGTACCATAATCGTTAAGACCTAAGAACCTTCAGACCGCACTTATTCTGACACAAATTGTACGCTCTAATAGTTTTTTTTTTTAAATAAACCATTATCCACTGTTGGAAATCTTCCTTAACTATTCAAAGAAAACCCCCTATTATCTGGATTTCTGGTAGTCTGAATGCAATAAGGGAAATATCAATTTGTAATGACCATTATAATAACATGAACTGTTCGTAGAAACTAGCGAAATCACCTGAAAATAAGTGGATTTTAAATAGGAAGATACCTGTTTGCAACGAAAGATAAAATACTAACTTTTTTTTTTATTTTATTTTTTTTTTTTAGGAAAAAACTTATCTTGAAGATATGTAAATATTATCACACTTCATCGGAAAAAAATTACCATTACATACTCCGTTAATAACTGTTAGTAAAAGTTATTTAATATTATTAATTATTGTTTGTCCTATCACACGGTGATATAAAAATTGTGGATTTTAATAATATATTTGCAGGGTAGGAAATAAAATTTAATAAAATTGCGTCTTCACACGTCATTTTTATAAAAATACAAGAAATTTTATAAATGTGTGACCTTAAGTTTTCATGTAGCCATGTAACTTACTKATTTCATTCAACATTGGAAGTAATAAGTTATTAATATAATTATAAACTATGAGTTATTATAGTTACCCCATTGAATCTAARAAGTATGATAAGGTCGTTATAGTCACGTAATTATAATAAGAAAAATAAGAAAATATTTTATCCTCCAGGGCTCAACACAATGACGTAATAGTAAGATTCTCGGTGTTGCACAAATTTGTAAAATTACCCCAGCCATATAAAATACATAATAATATGCCAAAAAATTATATCGTCTATAATATAACCGTGATTAAAAGTAAGTGTTGTACACACCAACAATAATAATTATTTGAACATGGTTGGTAACCATCTGCGAATAAGCGTTTCTAAAAACCGTGTAAAATGACGCGTCAATCATACTCAGACGACACAATTATACAACCCTAAGACAGACGGTTTTACCTTACAACTTAGATTAGATCATATACTTATATAAATTGTACATGTTCTGAACGTAAATTAAGACATTTGATTAACCACGTGCAAAATCAAAATCGTGATCTTTGACGTTGTCGAATATAAATATTTTTTTTGGCTATCTAAATATATGAGCACCAGCTAGCTATATGACTGTCCTTTGCCAACTTTTCATTAATTTTGAATACTGCTATTTATATTCAAAATATGCATCATATAGATCTTTAAGATGATCTCATAATTCTAATACTTTAGTTTGAGACACTTGTTTGTTGAAACTTCTACATTATTTTGTGTGATTCCTGCAAATGCAAATGAGTTTACAAGGGTTAGGTGCAATTTCCAATTATCTATGTCAGTTTTTGCCAAATCAAAACTCAGAATGACGGGATCACCGCGTTAAAACAAAGATTTCGATCTTTGTTTCACGTTAACTGAGATGTTCCTATATATTCATTGTTTTTTAACCATTGGCAACTATAAAAAATATTTTCTATACGAAAAAATATCCATCAGAAAATATATTTATCATTATAGGTACGTTTCAAACAGTTCCTAGAAATTTTACTATTTAATAGTTGTAAATTAAGTCTATATAGTTTAATTATAAATTATATTATTAAAACTATAATAGTTATCACTGAAAGCTCTAATAAAAAAAAAAAAATCATATTAGATCTATGATATGAGAGTTTTACAACTGTACTATTTTATATAAACATATTGACAACTGATACAATTATTAAATATATACATTAAGGGCCGTTCTTGCAATGTCCGGTTTAAGTTAACGGACAATTACCCGGTGGAATTTTGCCGATAAAATTCCCACTAACCAACCATCGGTTACCCGTTAACGGACACTTAACCGGACATTATATGAAATAGCCTAAATTAACATTTTATATTTGCTTATTTGGGTTGCCACAACCAGCATACCAGCTAGGTTTTAGCTTAAAATATATGTAATAGCTAAACARTTATAACTCTTAATAGCTAATAATTAATGGCATGCCGACAAGCGGATAATTGCATAATAACATATTCCTTATATAAAATCGTTGATTTTGAAATTATAACTATACAGATCGGTATTATAGAGCATCTATATATATATATTTCATCGTATAATTATGTTTTAACAGGAACGTGATATAAAAATGAGACACATCAAACATTTTTGGGATATTATTATACCTATTAATAATATCAAGAGTTCCAAAATATAATAAAATTAAATACTGCGATAACAATTAATAATGATAAATAATATCGTTGATATCTTTGTTATTTCAAACAGCTTGTTGTCGTTTCGTGGCGGTGGGCGTCGATGGTCGTGTACGAGCGGCGTGGCGTTCGGGTCATCCAGATGGCGGGCACAAACGTCGAGCGCCGCGGGCAGATCGGCCGACTTACTCGGACGTTGTTGACGGTAGTTTGTCTCCGAGCACGTGTGCGGACGGTCCTTCTCCCCTTCGGGCCGCCTCGACGTACGCGTACACCGTCGTGTTTGATTTTCATCGCCACCAATGAGTTTTCCSGCGACCATGCCGAGCGGATTTCCGGCGGTTTTCGCCATCGTTTTATCCACATTGGCCGCACTTCAGCTGTTGGCCGCCGTAGGTGAGTGTCACACGTTGTCGAATTTTTTTTTCCACACATATTTGAGATTTTTTTACATCACGTTTTCTTTCACGCGATCGTAGTTATTGGAAGTCGTCCAAAAATTACTTTTTTCTCGGACGGTGAAGAAGGGAAGGGATAAACAATGTTTTTTAGTTGGGTTCAAATACTGCAAAAAAATACATCAGAATTTCTACGTTGTCGAAAGTATTTTTTGTCTTTAAAATTATATACAGAAAAAAACCCTATCCCAAATCCAGTAAAAATATTCAAAAGTCAACTCTTGTACCCAAAATCCACGAATTTTGTTACGAAATATGAATACACTTTTAAACAACAAAAACACGCTTTTTAGTATAATATCATATATTGATGTCTGACACTATTCATATATATATAATATATAAGAAAAAGTCATTATTATTATGAATACATATATATATATATATTTTTTTTTTGGTCTTTAACAAATCACTATTACCATATACAAACTTTTAATAAATTATACAACGTAATTTACGAATAAAAATAACAAATTACCTACCTCTTCTTCTATTTTCAAAGACTATTCAGTGTAAAAATAAAATTTCCATGTTATTATGAATTGTTAAAATACGTGCATTATCACTGTTTCTGTAAACAATTTAATTGAAATCCATAATTTTTAACGTCCATGAATATCCAAATACAATTCACCTTCGGATTTTATTTTTATTTTTTATACCAAAATGAATGAAATTCCGTTTTATCCGCTGTATTCAATAACTATCAATTCGCAAACCAATAAATTTACTGCTATTTCTTCGTAGAAAACTCCAAAGTGTTAATTAAATTGCATTGTTTTTATTAAGTTAAAAGCTTCTTATTTTCTCTACAATATACACTTTGGGTACCTATGTTGATCAATCCAGACTTTTAGTGACATAAAATGCATAATTATTGCTGATTTTACAAAAAAAAAAAATATATATATATATATATGTTTACGTAACATTACTAAAACCTCACATTGTTTATTCGTTATAATTACTCAGTTTACGCTTATTGCATTAATTTGATTTGCAACCATTTAGTTATGTGCATCTACTAATATAGTTCAATGAAGATTTTATTTCGTTCAATTAATAAGTTCTAATGAGTTCGTCAGTATTTCATAATTTTCAATTTAACTATT